TGAAACAGAAACAACTTCAGAAGCATCTTACCTGTGCTAAGGAGAAAAAGAACGGGACTGTTGCTCAGTGGTCCAAAGTCCTCTTTTCAGATAAAAGTAAATTTTGCATTTCATATGGAAATCAAGGTCTGGAGGAAGACTGGAGAGACACAGAATTCAAGCTGCTTGAAGTCCAGTGTGAAGTTTCCGAAGTCAGTGATGATTTGGGGTGCCATGACGTCTGCAGGTGTTGGTCTATTGTGTTTTATCAAGTCCAAAGTCAATGCAGCTGTCTACCAGGAGATTTTGGAGCACTTTATGCTTCCATCTGCTGACAAGTTTTATGGAGATGCTGATTTCCTTTTCCAGCAGGACTTAGCACCTGCCCACAGTGCCAAAACCACTTCCAAGTGGTTTGCTGACCATGATATTACTGTGCTTGATTGGCCAGCCAACATGCCTGGCCTGAACCCCATATGGAATCTATGGGATATTTTCAAGAGAATGATGAGAAACAGTCGAATAAAGACGAGCTGAAGTCCGCTATTAAAGAAACCTGGGCTTCAATAGTGCCTCAGCAGTGCCACAGGCTGATCGCTTGCATGCCACACCTCACTGATGCTGTCATTTGTGCTTAAGGAGCCCCGACCAAGTATTGAGTACATAAATGAACATACTTTAAAGAACTTGAGCTCACTGATGCTGGAGTTTGTGCTAAAGGAGCCCCGACCAAGTATTGAGTGCATAAATGAACATAATTTAAAGAACTTGAACTTTTCTGTTTTGCAAATCCTTTTTTGATTGATATTAGGAAATATTCTAATATTTTGAGATACTGGATTTTTGACTTTCATGAGCTGCAAGCTCTAATCATCAAAATTAAAACAAAAACACTTTTTAAGTGTTTTACTTTACATGTAATGAATTTAGAATATATGAAGGTTTCACTTTTTAAAATGTTACAAAAAATGAACTTTTTCACAATATTGTATTTTTTTTGTGATCATTTGGATATAATTTATACCTTATGGATACATTAACATTTAAATTATGAAATAAAATTTATTGAATGAACAGAAACAATGCAATGTGAATCACAACAAAACCAGACAGGTGCAAAAATTTGGGCACCCCAATCGCTCTTCACCACAACAGTCCATCTTTGTGAAACAACAGGACTTTGCACAGGAAATGAGAGCGTTAAGAAACCTACTAGAACACAGCTGAGCTTTCAGACACAAATGAAGCTAGACTGTGGCAGCAGAAGACGTAAAAGAGACTGTACAGTATGAAATGCCAAAGGAACCATTCTCATTCTTTCATCTCTGCAGACCTCTTTGATGAAAGTGGGTCAATATGTTCTCCCTTCGCTTTCTGTTATGTTCCTTTTCATCATACTCCATTCCTGCAGCTCTATTGCACTGCACCGCTCTCTTACATCCCCAACCACATTCATAAACTCTTGGTGGATTGTAAAAGTTATGTCTATTTGTTAGTTAACTCAAAATATTCATTTCAGTTTATACAGTAAGAAATATTGTGTTAATTTTGAAGTGAAAAAGCTTAAGTTTGAGGCCAGTGATGTGTTCTGGAGTTATTTTTAATAATCCCATGAATTAAATGTACATATCAACATTTTCATTATTCACTGAAACATATAGTTTAACTGAGTAGAATCAATTCATAGCCTGTTGTCAGCCCTTAAATAAAAATATAGGCCTTTATATAATTCACAGACACTAAATTGTCAAAATGCATACATTTACACCGATTATACGACCAAGGTTTTACATTAATCCTTCTATTGCATTCAAATCCATATTGGACCATAAAATCCATAGTTTTTAGTATGGGAACCAAACTTTGCAAATGTTTTAAGACTATCAAAATAAAAGTATTTAATAAGTCAAAATTGTACATTGTTATTTTGTGTGTGTGGGTGTGTGTATATATATGTGTGTGTGTCTGTGTTTTATTATATTACAGTACCAGTATTTGGAGCTGAATCATTTTGTAATTAACTAATTAATGAATAAAAATTAAACATTAATTAAAAATTTAATTAATTTGAATTTGGAACAAACAGATTTATATATGTAATGTAATTATTTAAATATAATTTTATTAAGTATAATTTTAAGAAATATAATTATATATATTTTTTTCATTGTTTTGTTGACTTAAAAATTATTCTGTAATGTGTCTTTTCACTGGTAGTTTATATGTTTTTTGTTTTTTTAAATCTCATGATCTTTAAAACATCAGTCTGAAAGTTTGTTTTTAGTTAAGTTTGTGGACAGAGTGCACCTGAATTTATGTATAAAAATTCGATCCAATTTTTTTTATTGACTTTTTTTCTATAATGTCCAAACTGTTCACTGGAAGCATATATAAGCTTTGCGAACAAAATCTCTCCCACCAAACAACGGTCACCATTTTTCTCATGCATAAACTCACTCTTTCTTCTTTGAGCCTCTGTTTGCGCTTCTCCTCGACCGCCATCCTCCTCCTTTCCTCTCTTTGTCGCTGCTCTTCCAACTTCTTCTTTCGCTCCTCAAGGTGTTTCTCATAGAACTGCTTGGCCCGCTCTTCCCTCGCCAGCCAACCGCGCTCGCGCAGTGCTACAGTTCAGGTACACCAAGAAAAACTTAAAGCTTTGTTTATTCTTCAATTGGCTATGATGTTACATGTTCAGAGTAAGAAAAATACCCAGCTGTTTTTGGTACGCCTCTCTGCGTTCCCGGGCCAATCGCAGTCTCTTGTCCACTTTCAGCACATTTGATTCTAAATTACAAAATAATCATTCTGAAATTTTGCATGCAGCACATGATATAATAAATCCCAACTATGTTGGAATGAATGACATAAATGAGCAACTGGGAAGATTCAGCTCTAAAGTGTGAATCATAATTGACATCGTATCCATGGCAGCAGTATCAGACACTAGAAGGCTTGGAGAAAAGAAAATGCAAATTAAATTGATAGATAAATATTAGCTATTTTAGACCTGTATTATTTCCATTTCGTTTGCTGATATTAATCTGTGCTGATTTAATGTTCAGTGGAGCACATGCTTTTCTTTTTTGCTCAAAGGCTGTGGGTTTCACGTCAGATCTGGAATCTGGGGAAAAAAGAGAGAGGCTGTTTACTTAGTGCTCAGGAAAAATAGATAAATTAACACCAAACGTGAAAGTCTTTTAGTTTTTTGGTCTTTAAACTTTCTGCTGAAGTTTACCAAACTCTAACCCAGTTTGAAAAGCAGACAGGCAGGTTAGAAGGTCAGGGTGTGATGATTTACAAGATTATGACAAGGAATGCATCGCATAGTGGAAGCCTTCATGATTGATCTCTTTGTCTGTAAAAATTCTTGAAATAGGCACACAATGATGTTACTTTAAACCTTTGAGTTACACATGTATCAGTTTCATGAGTTTCATTGTTATTCAGACAAGTAACAATCCCATTGTCTTATGGGAGTTTCCCCCTTGATAGTGTAAGTTTGGTGTCAGTAAAATTATTTTTATAAAGATGAATTAAATTGATCAAAAGTGACAGTTAAGACACTGACAATGTTTTAAATTCTAATGTTTCTGTTCTAATGTTCAAAGGATCCTGATAGAAATGTATCATGGTTTCCACAAAAATATTAAGCAGCGCAACAGTTTTCAACATTGATAATAATAAGAAATATTTCTTAAGCACCAAAGAAGCATATTAGAATGATTTCTGATCATGTGACACTGAAGACTAGAGAAATGATGCTGAAACCTCAGCTTTTTCATCATAGAATTAAAATATTAATTAAAAATCTTCAATATATTACAATTTTAAAAAGTTATTTTAATTTGTAATATGATTTTTTAAATATTACTCTTTTTACTTTATTATTTAATCAAATAATTTCAGCCTTGGAATTAATAAATGTATCTAGTAAATATATTTTTAACCATTTTAGCCACATACAATAAATGCTTTTTAACCCTGGGTTATATTGACACTTCATACTGTATACATTTAGCATCTCAGTTTCATGACGCAGCAAAACCTAAAAGCGGTGCTTTACAAGCATGCAACATTACTTAACCCAGAATGAATACCCTTGGGTTAAAAAAGATGATAATTTCGTGTTTAGTGTACTCTGATAAACCTATTAACTTACTACCTAAGTAGTGTATTTCAACAAATACAGGTTTGGCCTCCCATACTAATGCAAACCGTTCTCAGTGTCTTTAAAAACACCTCTATAAACAAAAGTTGAGTGCCAAAAGGCAGATATAAAGATGAACATGAGGCCTGTCTCATGCCAGTTTTGACTTTGTCCTCTGCATCAAGACAGCCCAAGGCCTGTACACCATTACAAAGGCAACATTTGTTTTACTCTTGCTGTGTAGAACAACAAATTCAGCGCCTGACTAAAGAGTACGTGGCGATGGTGAACTCTTAAGGTAAACTTTACACTACAGATCACCACAACAATGCTATCGAGGGGTGAAGTGTGGAGCACGACGGATGCTGAACTGCTGAATTTGCATGCATATTTTAGTCACTTGGTTTAGAAAATTAAAGCAGATGAGCTTGACATCAGGGGGCGTTACAAAACAGATGTCTATCATGTGATGTGAGACCCTTATAAACACATTTAGCACAGCTAGCATCATCACACATAAATAACCCATTCCTAATACGTCACTATCTGAGCTAACCATGCAGAAATGCATTGTTATTTAGTATATAGAGTCAAATGGGTATATCTAACAGCTTTATGCCAGCTAAAAGGATCAGTATATGTTTGTATCCAGTATTTTAGGATGCTTATGCTCAAAGTTTATTTTGGACACTGTATTAGCAGAAATGTCATATTTATCATCCGCATCTCACCAACCTCTCTGCTTCCTCGCAGTGTCGCACATCTTCATCCGTCCCTTCTCCGAGATCGCAGCGAGACCCAGCTCTGTCTTCCTCCACTCCCGTTCCTGCTCTGCCAGGCTCAGATGAGCTGGCATCTTACAGTGAGTGTGTGTGTCCGTCTAATACATGTAGAGCATCTGTGTTCCCTGTGCACAAGTCTTCCACTCCAGCCAACGGCTTATCAGTGCATCTCTAGAAGGGAATAGACTGGTTAAGAGAGAGAGAGAGGCAGAGTGTGAGACAGAAATTCTTCCTGAGGGAGCTTGTGTGAGAAGCTGATTTGCTCCTGTCTGGGCTGCGTCCAGCACACGTGCACGGCAAGCAAAGTCAGTGAGCATCCGTAAGTACAGAGTGCACATGTGCCATGCTCTCACAAAAGAAACCCACCCAGCTGGTAGCAACTGTGGTTATTGGAGGTGCGTTTCCCTTTAAAAATCCATCGAGCTCTTTTCATTGCTTTGGCCGGTCACATTGACGGCATGCGAGCAGCTGCGGCAAGGTTGAAGTATTCACAGTACAACAAAAGAGAGAGTTGGATGCAAGCACTTTTTTTCTAAATGGTTGCCTGGGTGATATGCAAAATTGTGGGAGGCATGACACTGCATGACAGTGTCCAGAAATAGCAGCAGAGAAAACCCGCTTTCATCCTGCATATCGATTTGTGAAATGCAAAATAAAATAAACAGCCAATTGCAGACCAGATTAAAGGTTCTAGTCCCATATCTTGGATATGTTTTTCACGTCTCATAATGCTTTTCTTCTGATTGGCTTGAGGATCTGCTCTCAGACAGAGAGAGGACGTTATGCCTCCGCTATCAGTAACAACTGTGGATCCATATTGGTGGCTTTTTATGTCATAGCTCACAAGTATTGCATTGCATTTGTCTTCTTTTAGCAAATATTTTCTATCTAAAACAACTCGCAGTACATGTTTTGGGACAATCTCCCTGGAGGGATGGGTTGGGTGAACTCATAAATCACCCTTTCAGCACTCAGTTTTGAACCTACAAGCTGTAATCTGTAAACCACTAAACCACACCACTCATGCTTATAGAGGAGACAGAGGCTAGAGTATGTTTCCACACTATTTACCTCATGTAAATTCAATTTCTGTACAAACACCTTTGTCTGACTAGAAAAAGGCTATTGAAAATTCTTTCCATTTTTGCATATATATAAAAAAAAAAAAACATTACAGTCCATTGGACACAAATTGATCGTTATGGGGCGGGGCATGTTGTCACAATGGTAACTATTCAGGAAATGTTAAAGATATATATCAAGAATGTTTTTTTTAGGTTTATTTTAGTCTTATTGATATGCTGTGGTATGTATTCATATTTTGAGTTGGCTTTTATAAAATGTATAATTTTAATTTACAATTTTTATATATTTTTTTTCTTTGCTTGCTTTACTTTTTTTTTTTTCAGTTTATAGTTTTAGTAATTTTAGTACTTTAACTTTTTATTTCAGTAAGTTGCCAAGGCAATATTAATTTTTTTATATATATTTTTAATCTAATATTTTTTTTAATTTTTGCTTATCAATTACCAAAAACTAATTTTAAATAGTTTAACAATAACAACATTGGATATAAAATCAAATGCCTATATATATATATATATATATATATATATAATTATTACATTTAAAATGTTGTAATTGTTTTACAAATAAATGATACATGTAATCATTTTATATTATACAGTTGAGTTACAGTTACAGTTGGAATTTAGTTTGAAGAATGGGATTAAAAAAAAAATTAAACATATTTTTTTAAAAACTTGTTTGACTTTTATTACTAATATATAGCCAATTTGACTGCTAGCCTCAGTCTCGTCAGTATTGTAATATTACAGCATTTATCATATGCAAATTAGATTTATCTGGAAACAAGCATCAAAGGCAAGAAAATTGTTTAAAAATGTTCCCAGGGTTCAAAGTACATGTCTTTAATTTGTGTAAATGCAAATGTCCTGTTTGTTACACTAAAAACACCCCACAAAGAGACTAGTTGGCAGGTTATAAGCAGGTTAAGTGAGTCCTTCCAGGGTGGCGGCACTTCCAGGTTTGTCTCGGGAAGTCTGAACGAGGAGTAGCTATCTGGAATGGTAAGTCCCTACAGATGATTACAGTAATGTTCTGTTGAGGTCATATTTGTGATTAATAAACAATATTTTTGGGGTGTTTATGGTATAACGTCATCCGTGAATTTTTTTGTTTTGATCTGCTTCTGTAACTGGATATCAGCAAGTACATCTGAAAATGTGTGTGAGAGGGAGGAATCTACATGAGGAGTCAATGAGTGATTGGCAGTCTGTCTGATGTGAAGGCGAATGAGGAAATGGGGCTTGGCAAAGCTTTTTTTCCCCTTGCTGTCAGAAAGGTAGAGTCAGTGTTACGCTGACAGGAGCTGGCTGACGGATGTCTGTTGTCTGCACCGATATGTAGGATACAAGAGCAGAGGAGAGACTGCCCAGGGACTGCATCTGAAATTGAATGCTTCAAACAAGAGTTCACTGACAGGAGGAGGTCATTGAATTATTATCCGTACAGGTACTTTATCTTTTTCCACTATATTTTTGCTCGTACTTTGCACCTGTCATGTTGTATGAAAGTGAGTCCTGACTTGTTCATTACCCCTTAATTTGGAGATTTTGTTTGTTTGTTTAAATAATTATATAGTTAATTATTTAGTTTCTGTCTCTTTAAGAAAGTTTCTTCGGTCTTACATTCTTATTGTTCAATGAGTGTAATAATCAAACAGTGAAACTGGGAGAGGTGCGTTTCTCACTGTTCGCAAATGACTAAGAGCAGGTGGATCTCAAAGTTTTGTTCTGAAACCTGTTCCATGTGTCATTTCGGTTTTGGGGTGAGGTTTACCTACCGTACCTGTAATACCAAAGTTTGGAATTATATATATATACATGTTATATATAGACATGTCACTACAGAATGACCACCAAGAAAGATGGTTTACCATTTCATTAAAAAGCGGTTATACTGGTTTGATTTGTTGTCATGGTAAAATGACAAAAACAATCCCAGCTAAAGTTTTATACGAATAGTAAACAAGCAATATTAAATCCATAGAATATGCATTCTATATAATAGTTCACCCATAAATTACATTTACAGTACTGACCATCATGCTGTTCCAAACCTGTAACATTTACATTCTTCTGTGGAACAAAACATTTTGGTTCTGGTTATTGTCTGCAACACACTAATTACAAGAGTACGGAAACTTCAACTTCAAAAAGCAAATAAAAACATCATAATGATATCATAAAAATAGTCCATACCACTCTTACGCTATATTCCAAGTCTTCTGAAGCCGATAGATTTGTGTGAGAAAGACTGAAATGTACATGTTTGTCAATAAAAATATTCCTCCCTATTGAGCTGTTAACCACTGCGAGCTGGTAATTTAGTCAACTCGAAAACCGGCTCAGTCAGATCCAGTTTCAGACTGTTTTTGCTGAACTGGACCAACCAATTAATTCAAAAGGTCTGACTCAAACGAATGATACATTCACAAATCAGTCATGGCTACTTGGTCTGTTTGTCATGCGGAGCCTTCTTATGGCCTGAGAAGACTCGGGTAGAACAATTTTATGATCTTTTTTATGGTATTTTTGTGAGAAAACTTCAGTCCCCGACTTTGGGTGAATGATCCCTGCACTGATGTTACATGTTTAGGAGTCCTTAAGAGAAGAGCAAGAGGCCTCATCTGGTTTATCAAGAGCGAACTGTGCCTTCTCGAGTACAGCTTTTTTCCCCCATTTGGTGTGTTCTGTTGCTTTAAAACTGCTTCATTGCCACAGTAACATTGAGAAGAGGACCCAAATGATCAAGTACTATAAATGATCATGTGGAATTATAAAAATGACTTCAAAATTGTAAATAAAACAAGAAAACACTATTTCAGTTTTTCTACTTCAGAATTTCATGTTTAATTTAGTGCTACTTGCTGCTTCTTTGCAATTCTTTATGAAATGTACTGTCAAGTTCTGAGTTAAATTGTTTCTACACCATTTTTTTCAGTGATATAATGCATTCAACCTTTAATTTGTCTTTCTGTAGGTACCACAATCATGGCACCAATCAGCACAGATCTAGCAGGCTGGGCGGTCACAGAGCAACCAGAGGCTGCATTTCTTTCCATAGTCGTCCTCTTCATCGTTAGCATCGCACTCCTCGTTCTCTGTGCAAGCTGTAAAAAGTGAGTGGTTTCTGAGTGACCTTTAAGAGATTTTGTGGATTTTGGTGTAAAAAACAAAACAAAAAAAATGCCTCAAAAGATGAAGTCACTGAAACAGGCAACAATACATGTCCTATAGGTATGTAGCAACAAGTCACCCACTCTGTTGCTGTAAGCTACATACCTAGACATCACGGTCAAGTTTTTCTACTATGGAAATTTGTAAGGAATGAGGCAGGAATGTGGCTTTGTCACAAAACACAGAGAGAAGCATCTTACTCATAGTAGCTCATGCTTGACATATGAGTACATGAAAGAGAGACCAAGGAAATAAGCAGTATATTGTGAGATTGTAGTTTATGAAGTCTATGCAGACTGTCTGCATGATGATATATAAGCCAGTAGGTCAAATACCAGTTAGCACTTCAGTCTCATTCACATTGTTTAAACTCATTAGAGTAAATGCCCAAAACTAAAAATCAATAATCTTTTTGTAATAAAAAGAAAGGATTTGGTGATTAATTCACGTTCATTTGGAAATTTTACTTTTAGTTGCAGTATTAATCTCAACCACTAGAGGCCAGCCAAGAACGGACAGTGAGTGATAAATGTTGAAGAAATGCAGGTGTTTTTGCACCGACAGTTTATTTTTTATTTTTTATTTTTTAGTTAATATAAGCAATGAAATGTATTTGTGTTAATCCAAGAAGCTGTTAATCCAAAATAATTTTAAGATACTTTTTTGATTTTGAGATTAATTTACATTTATTTGGCGATGTACCTTCAGCTGTGGTTTGAATGTCAGACACCAGAGGCCAGTCAAGAATTTCAGTGCATGTGGGATAAACTTTAGGCTTTAAACTTTGTTGCACTGGCAGTAATTCTTGTTTAGTGACAAATCGGGTTTGTTACTCTTGTGTTTTAAACAAAAAGACTGAACTCATTCAGTGCAAATAATCACCAGAACCATGACCACAGACTTCGTCAAATCCTTCAAATGATTTAGATTTATTACTTTGCAGACATTCATTTGAGTTAGACAGCCACAGCACACCCGAGCAACAGAAAGCATCCACACTTGTGAGCGTGGTGAGTGTCATACTTTGTAAAACCTAAATGGGAATATAATGTGTGGTGCCTGTGTGTGTGTGTGTCTGTGTGTGTGTGTGTGTGTGTGTGTGTACACACTGCTGTTGAAAAGTTTGGGATCAGTAGGATTTTTAATGTTTTTTAATTGAGTCTCTTATGCTCATCAAGGCTGCATTTATTTGATCAAAAATACAGAAAAACAGTAATATTGT